AAAGAGCAACAAACTTTAATTAAACACAATAAAAATGAGAGCACCGGGGTATCACAGCCAAGAGCTGGTTTTAAGTTAGAGAAAGTTCTTCAAACGTTTTTATTACCAACATTTTTTGTAATGCATAATACTAAAATATTTTCAAATATATCAATATATAAAAATAGATATTTTATATATAAATATATAAAAATATATAAAATACATCAAAATATATATATAAAATAAATCTCTAAATACAAAACCCAGCTCAAGGGGACAGAAAGAAAAAAACTTCAATAAAACACAACAAAAGTGACAGCACTGGGGTATCACAGCCAAGAGCTGGTTTTAGGTTAGAGAAAGTTCTTCAAACATTTTCATTTTGTAATACATAATACTAAAAATATTTTAAAATAGATCTATATAGAACTATATATTTTTATATAGAAATATATATTTTATATAGAAATATATATTTTATATAGAAATATATATTTTATATAGAAATATATATTTTTATATAGAAATATATTTTTATATAGAAATATATATATTTTATATAGAAATATATTTTTATATAGAAATATATATATTTTTATAGAAATATATTTTTTATAGAAATATATATTTTTTTATATAAAATAGATCTCTAAATACAAACCCCAGCTCAAGGGGACAGAATGAAAAAACTTCAATTAAACACAATAGAAATGAGAGCTCTTGGCTATCACAGTCAGCCAAGAGCTGGTTTTAAGTTACAATCTCTATTCCCCTAAAAGGATTTCTGACCCTGCAGAATTAAAGGAATCTCCCAAACCCAGACCAAGAGAGGACCCAAAAATCCCTCTGTGAATTCAGGTGTGAGCAGAGAGAGAGCAGGAGATGCAATTAGCAGCCGTGGGTGTAATTAGGAGAGGCTGGAGGGCAGGGAGAACAGCCTGGACGGGATCCCAGAGCACCCCAGGATGCTGAGCCCAGGGTCCTTCAAATGCCACCGAGCCCTGGCAGGGCACAGAGCCCTGGGCTGCGCTGCCACCGGGGTCCCCAGTGCCACCATGAGGCCCCATTTCCCTCAATGGGATCCCCAGTGCCCCCAATGGGTCCCCAGTGCCACCAATGGGATCCCAATTCCCCCACTGGGATCCCCAGTGCCCCCAATGAGGCCCCAGTTCCCTCAATGGGATCCCCAGTGCCCCCAGCAGGATCCCAGTGCCCCATCAGGGTCCCAATTCCCCAAGCAGGATCCCACTGCCCCTCATCAGGGTCCCCAGTGCCACCAGTGGGGTCCCAATTCCCCCAGTGGGGTCCCCAGTACCCCAGCGGGGGTCCCAATTCCTCCAGTTCCCTCAATGGGATCCCCAGTGCCCCCAGTGAGGCCCCAGTGCCCCCAGCAGGATCCCAATTCCCCCATCAGGATCCCAGTGCCCCATCAGGGTCTCAATTCCCCCATCTGTGATCCCCAATTCCCCCATCTGTGATCCCCAATTCCCCCATCTGTGATCCCCAATTCCCCCATCTGTGATCCCCAATTCCCCCAGTGGGGTCCCCAGTGCCCATCAGGATGATCCCAGTGCCCCTCATTGGGCTCCCCAGTGCCCCCATCTGTGATCCCCAATTCCCCCATTGGGATCCCAGTGCCCCCAGCAGGATCCCCAGTCCCTCTCACTGGGCTCCCCAGTGCCCCCATCAAGATCCCAATTCCCCCATCAGGGTCTCAATTCCCCCATCAGGGTCTCAATTCCCCCATCTGTGATCCCCAATTCCCCCAGTGGGGTCCCCAGTGCCCATCAGGATGATCCCAGTGCCCCCATCGGGGTCCCCAGTTCCCATCCCAGGCTGCTCCCCCCAGCTGCAGCAGCGCTGGGAGGGACCCCAAGGAGGCCCCTCCTGGCAGGAATTTGTGCCCCTGGCATGTGCCAACCCTGCTGGGCTGGGCTGGAACCCACCCACCCACAGGGACCAAGGGTGGGACCCTCAGCTGCCATCTGAGCCCTGGGAATGTCCCTGAGGAGCCAGGAACCCATGGAAACCCAATTGTGCACCTGTGAAATGCCTAACCTGCACAGCAAAGGGGTCAGGAACCCATGGAAACCCAATTGTGCACCTGTGAAATGCCAAATCTGCACAGCAAAGGGGTCAGGAACCCATGGAAACCCAATTGTGCACCTGTGAAATGCCAACTCTGCAAACCAAAGGGGTCAGGAACCCATGGAAACCCAATTGTGCACCTGTGAAATGCCAACTCTGCACAGCAAAGGGGTCAGGAACCCATAAAAACCCAATTGTGCACCTGTGAAATGCCAAATCTGCCAGCAAAGGGGTCAGGAACCCATAAAAACCCAATTCTGAACCAAAAAAAAGCACAATTCTGCAAACCAAGGGCGGCAGGAACTGATAAAAACCAAATTCAGGAAACCAAAAAACCCAGTAAAAGCCCAGTTCTGCAGCAATAAAAGCCCAATTCTGGAAACCAAAGGAACCCATAAAAACCCAATTCTGCAAACCAAAGGAACCCATAAAAACCCAATTCTGCACCATCAAAAGTCTAATTCTACAAACCAAAGGGATCAGGAACCAATAAAAACCCAATTCTGAACCAAAAAAAGCACAATTCTGCAAACCATGGGCGACAGGAACTGATAAAAACCAAATTCTGCAAACCAAAGGAACCCATAAAAACCCAATTCTGCAAACCAAAGGAACCCATAAAAACCCAATTCTGCACCTATGAAATGCCAACTCTGCAAACCAAAGGGGTCAGGAACTGATAAAAGCCCAATTCTGCACAGCAAAGGGGTCAGGAACCCATAAAAACCCAATTGTGCACCAGTAAAAGCCCAATTCTGCAAACCAAAGGAACCAATAAAAGTCCAATTCTGCACCATCAAAAGTCTAATTCTACAAACCAAAGGGATCAGGAACCAATAAAAACCCAATTCTGAACCAAAAAAAGCACAATTCTGCAAACCAAGGGCGACAGGAACTGATAAAAACCAAATTCTGCAAACCAAAGGAACTGATAAAAACCCAATTCTGGAAACCAAAAAACCCAGTAAAAGCCCAGTTCTGCACCAATAAAAACCCAATTCTGCAAACCAAAGGAACCAATCAAAACCCAATTGTGCAAACCAAAGGAACCCATAAAAACCCAATTCTGGAAACCAATAAAAGCCCAGTTCTGCAGACCCAAGGAATCAATAAAAGCCCAATTCTGCAAACCAAAGGAACCAATAAAAGCCCAATTCTGCAAACCAAAGGAACCCATAAAAACCCAATTCTGCACCAATAAAAGCCCAATTCTGCAGACCCAAGGAATCAATAAAAGCCCAATTCTGCCAACCCAAGGAACCAATAAAAGCCCAGTTCTGCAAACCCAAGGAATCAATAAAAGCCCAATTCTGCAGACCCAAGGAATCAATAAAAACCCAATTCTGCACCAATAAAAGCCCAGTTCTGCCAACCCAAGCCCCAGCACTCCAGCCTGGCCCTGAGCTGAGCCCTGGGAGTTCCTGGAAGAGAAGCCAGCCTGGCTCCTGGACACACAATTATTCCATGATGCCCACAAGAAATGAGTCACCTTTTACATAAAAAAAAATAAAAATAAAGTTTCCACCATCCTCCTTTCCTGCCGCGGGCGTTCACTCTGAGCCGGGCCAGTTTAACTCTGCCATCCTTGCTGATCATTAATTGTAATTAAATGTCCCCACATCCAGCAGTGAATGAATAAAACCCAAACCCCTCCCAGCCCGGATATTTCACAGAGTTAAGTGAGTTCTGTGTTTCTCCTGTGGAAATGCAAAGCTCCACATCAAACCCAGCTCCTCACCTAACTATAATATCAAGAGACGAGATCAGCTGCACTTTTTGTCCTCTGAAATGGAAATAGAAACACCCACACTCCTCACCCCGGCAGCTCCCACCCATCCAAACCAGGTTTTGCAGAATAATAAATCCCATTTCCACTGCTCGGTTTGCCTTGAGAAGCTTCATGGAAGAAGTCCAGGAAAGAAAAGTGCAAGAATTCCCAATAAACGAGGGGATGGGCAATGCTGGAGCACACCCAGGGCTCTGCTGCTCCATAAATCCCAAAGTTTCCGTGCCCAGCCCGGTGCCAGCGCCGCAGCATCGCCGCAAATCCCAGAGCTCCGAGCCTCGGCTGGGCACGGAGGCCCCAGGAGCTGCTCCAGGGGTTCCAGTCAGGAAATTGGAGCAGGGAAATAAATCCAGGGGAGGCTCCAGCCCTGAGCGCAGCCAGCCCTGCCCAGCCGGGGCTGATGCGGAGCAGCCCAAACCCCAAATTCCCCTCCCGGAGGCACCGGGCTGGGCTCGGAGATAACGAACGGCGTTATCTGTTCGCGGTTTAACCCCGGTTATTTCTCAGGGTTTCCGTGATGTTCCCGGTGATCGGGAGGAGCTGGAATTGCCCCCACCCAATGTTCGGGTATCACAAACAATCCCCATCCATTCGGGTATCACACACACACCTGCCTCGGCAAACGCCTTGGGGGGACTCAAAGTCCTTGGGAGAACTTCTGCAGCACTTCCAGGGCGGGGAACGACGGGGGAATTACAAGGATGGGGGATTTACAAGGATGGGGGAATTATCTCAGGGTAGCGATGTGACTTGGTCCAGCAAGCCACAACAGGGCTCGGATGTGGATAACTGATCTAAAATAATGCCATTTTTTAGGAAATCGGGCGATTCCTCATCAGACGCAGGTTACCACTAACATCACACCGGGTACCGGGGCCAGAGCCGCGCTGCCCAAAGCGAAGCCCCGGGAACGGCGGCCCCGGAGGGACGGGAAGGACGTGACGGAGCGGGGAAGGGGCGAACCCCGCCGAGGGAGCGGGGCTGTCCCGGGGGACAGGGAGAACAAAGGAGCAGCCCGGGGGTGACACCGGCTGGCAAAGGGCACGGGCGGCGCTGCCCCGGGAACCCCGCAGAGCCCCGCCGGGAGCGCCCCCCGCATCCCCCCGAGCGGCACAGGATGCGCGCACCCCCCGCGGTCCCGCACCTGAGCGTGGGGCCGATGCAGGCCGTGTCGGTGCTCTCGATCTCGCGCAGGATCCTCTCGTGCTCCGCCGCCGTCTCCAGGCTCTCCAGCTCCGCCATCTTCGGCCGCTCCATGGGGCCGCTCCACCTGCGCGGCCCCGCCCGGCCCGGCCCGGCCGGCAGCGGCAGCGGCACCGCCGGGGCTGCTCGGCCCCGCTCCGCCACCCGCGCGGGGCACCACGGGACATGTAGTGCGGGAGGGGCCGCGCCGCGCGAGGAACCACGGGAGATGTAGTCCGGGAGCGGGGCTGGGCCGCGAGGCACCATGGGAGATGTAGTGCGGGAGGGGGCCGGGCCTGCGCGGCCGCTCCGCCCAGGAGGGACGGACGGAGCAGCGCGGCCCCGGGACTGGGGGAAGATTGGGTGGGGAGGGTGTCGTACCCATCAAGGGGACACAGCCCCCTGAATGAGAGCCCTATGGCAGTCCCCGTGCTGTACTCAGGAGAGGACACAGCCCCATGGCACTGTCCCCGTGTCCTCCCCGTGAGGGGACACAGCCCCATGGCTTGGACACCTCTGTGAATGATACAGGCTCATGGCACTGTCCCCCTATTGTGCCCAGGAAAGGACACAGCCCCATGGCACTGTCCCCGTGTGGTACCTAGGAGAGGACAGAGCCCCACAGCACTGTCCCAGCGTCCTCCCCATGAGGGGACACGGCCCCATGGCTTGGACACCTCTGTGAATGACACAGCCCCATGGCACTGTCCCCCTGTTGTCCCCAGGAAAGGACACAGCCCCATGGCACTGCCTCGTGTTATGCCCCATGGCTTGGACACCTCCTTAGGGGACACAGCCCCATGGCACTGTCCTCATGTCCTCCCTGTGAGAGGACACAGCCCCACGGCAGTGACACTGTTGTGACATCCCGGCAGGACAGAACCTGTGTCCCTGCCCCGAGCAGAGGCAGGCCCTGCTCCTCCTGCCCCATGCTGTCCCCTCCTGCCCCATGCTGTCCCTTAGCCCCATAAGCGAAGAAAAGATGACTGCGGTCCCAACATGTGTGGAAAATCCCACTGGGAAAAACCAGTGTCCCTAAAGGAGGCAGAGGAGTCTTGCAGCTTTATTCAGATAAAGGGAGAGTTCACCAGGCACAGCCTGCTGGGTTTTCTCTCTCAAGGTTTCAGAGGGCGAAGCCTCCATTTTATCCCAAACTCCAGCCATGTGCTGCCCCTTCCATTCCCCATTGCCAAGGAAGGTGCAGCTTTCCCCAGCTGCCTGCTCCCCATCCCCCCTTGAACCTGGCATTTCACCCCAAAGTTTGGGAACTCCCGTTCTGGAGTGCAGCCCCGTTTGTTTCAGGAGTTGGGGTGCCCGGGATCTGTGACAAACCCTTGAAATTAACTCTAAAGCAGCTTGAAATTGGCCCCAAAGCTCAGGAGCTCCCATTTGTCGGTGTCAGGAACCAGGGTGAAATTAACCCCAAATTTCAGGAGCTCCCCCTTGTCGGTGTCAGGAGTCAGGGTGCCCGTGCTCTGTGACAAACCTGTTGGTTGAAATTAACCCCAAATTTCAGGAGCTCCCACTTGTCTGGAGTTTCAGGAGTCAGGGTGAAATTAACCCCAAAGCTCAGGAAGTCCCATTTGTATTTTTCAGGAGTCTGTCCCCACTCTGTGACAAACCTGTTGGTTGAAATTAACCCCAAATTTCAGGAGCTCCCTTTTGTCTGTGTCAGGAGTCTGTCCGGGCTCTGTGACAAAGCCGCTGCTCGAAGTCCCTGGAGTCATTAAGCCCCCGGGACTGTTCGAAGGACGCTCGCACACATCTCCCCGGCAGAAGGAGCTCCTGCAGACACCGAGCCGCCTCTGAGCTGCCTCCTGCCCGTCCCAGCCCCTGCCGGGTGCACCCCCGTGAGCTGTGGGATCCAAGGGCACAGCGGATCCTCCTCCAAAGCAGTGCAGAACATGCTGCAGGAACACCCCTGGGTGCTGAGGTCTCCTGGCTGCCGGTGTGGCTCCCTTTGGGAGCAGCTGGTTGTTCCTGTTATCGGTTTTTTTGGGAAAACAGCACTGGAATGTCCCGTTCCCAGCACACCTTATCAGGTGCTGTCCTTGCACGGGAATGCCACAGTGGGATGGGAGCAGGAATCCCAGATTGTGACACCACCGAGGGCTCTGCCTTTGCTTTTGTTGTTTCACCTTCTGAGATAGAAATAAAATTCTCCACATCTGGGCCTCCCTCAGCACTGCTTGTGAGGGTGGAACGCTGCTGATGTAAATAATGTGGAATTGTGGAATGGGTGGGGTTCGAAGGGACCAAAGATCATCTGGTTCCAACCTCCCTGCCAAGGGCAGGGACACTTCCATTGTCACTGTGTGAAATGAGAAGGGGATAAAAGAACTCCCCAGAATGAGGCTCCAGGACTGGAACAACACAGGCAGAGTAAGGAGAGCCTGGTGAAAACTTGGAGTCCTTAAAGCTGGAAAAGACTTTTAAGATCACAGAGTCCAGCCATTGCCCAGCACTGCCACCACTCACTCACCATGTCCCCAGGTGCCACATCCACAGGGCTGGAAATCCCTGCAGGGATGGGGACTCCAGCCCTGCCCTTTCCATGAGGAATGTCCCCAGTGCCCACCCTGAGCTCCCCTGAGGCCGTTCCCTCTGCTCCTGTCCCTGTTCCCTGGGATAAGATCCCAAATCCCCCCGGCTGTGCCCTCCTGGCAGGAGCTGTGCAGAGCCACAAGGGCCCCCTGAGCCTCCTTTGCTCCAGGCTGAGCCCCTGCCCAGCTCCCTCAGGGATTCTGCAGCCCCTGCCCGGCTCCCTCAGGGATTCTGCAGCCCCTGCCCAGCTCCCTCAGGGATTCTGCAGCCCCTGCCCGGCTCCCTCAGGGATTCTGCAGCCCCTGCCCAGCTCCCTCAGGGATTCTGCAGCCCCTGCCCAGCTCCCTCAGGGATTCTGCAGCCCCTGCCCGGCTCCCTCAGGGATTCTGCAGCCCCTGCCCGGCTCCCTCAGGGATTCTGCAGCCCCTGCCCAGCTCCCTCAGGGATTCTGCAGCCCCTGCCCGGCTCCCTCAGGGATTCTGCAGCCCCTGCCCGGCTCCCTCAGGGATTCTCCAGCCCCTGCCCGGCTCCCTCAGGGATTCTGCAGCCCCTGCCCAGCTCCCTCAGGGATTCTCCAGCCCCTGCCCAGCTCTCTTCCCTGCTCCTCACCACACTCCTGCTCCAGCTCCCTCAGTTCACATGGAGCTCACCAACTCTTCCCACAGCTTCCCAAGCACGGTGTCACTTTGGATGTGACCAGGGAGATGTGTCCCCCACCAGCGTCACCATGGGGATCTGCAGAAGCTTTCCTAGGACCAGGAATCAAAGAGAGACATCAGCAATGGGAGGAATGGGGGTGAAAATCGCAGGGTGGATCCTGATCTGGGGCTGGGCTGGGAGCTGTTCCCAGGGGAGCTCTTCAGAGCCTCCACAGCTCCTCTGGAGCCTCCACAGGACCTTAAAGCCCATCCCATCCCACCCTCTGCCATGGCAGGGACACCTCCCACTGTCCCAGGCTGCTCCAAGCCCCAGTGTCCAGCCTGGCCTTGGGCACTGCCAGGGATCCAGGGGCAGCCACAGCTGCTCTGGGAATTCCAGCCCAGCCCCTGCCCACCCTCCCAGCCAGGAATTCCTTGCCAAGATCCCATCTAAATCTCTCCTCTTTCAGTTTAAAACCATTTCCCCTGTCCTACCACTATCTGCCCATATAAAAAGTTGCTCTATTTTTTATAGCACTGGAAGGCTGCAGAAAGTTTTCCCTGGATCCTTTTCCTCTCCAGGTGAGCACCCCCAGCTTTCCCAGCCTGGCTCCAGAGCAGAGGTGATCTCATGTTCAGTTTTGTTCTAACCCTCCAGACATCTTTGGTTCCTCCTCTGGCCTGGTTTCAGCAGCTCCATGCTCTCCCCAGGGCTGGGGCAGCTCTGCAGGTGGGGTCTCACCTGGGCAGGCCAGAGGGGCAGAATCCCCTCCCTCAACCCCTGCTGCTGCTGAGGATGAGCCCAGGATGGGCTTAGCAAGGAACAGAAATCAAATGGTCCCCAAAACCCAAGGGGAACCCCATCCATCTGCTCCTCCCCGAGGTTGTGTGGCCACAGCATCACATCCAGCTGATTCCCCATCACCACCTCCAGCTCTGCCCGGGATAAAATGTCCCATTCTGTAAGAAAAACCCCACTCTTTGTCCCCAGACTGTAGCATTTGTCACCTTCACATGAATATTCATTGCTGGCGTCTGCCTGGGATTTGTCCTCATTATTTGCTGCCACACAAACTTTGTCCCGTTTGAGACCCTGTCCACAAGAAGTTGATTTATTTATTTCTTCTCCCCAGTCACTGCCATAACCCTGCTGAATGGGTATTGTTGGAATTTATTAATCAAATCATCAGGCAAGGCCAACATGGGTGTAGCAAAGATGGCTCATAATCCTAAAAAATGAGATTGGCTTTGCCTGACAGATTCCATTGGCCTTAAACCCTTCTGGCTGCCATTATCCCTTTTATATTCCCTTAATTTCCTCCTAATGAAGCTCCAGATAATTGGGTTTTATAGAGCTGACAACAGCCTGGTAATGCTTTAAAATCTCCCCCTTTTAATTACTGACCCCACAGTGCTTGCCAGGCCTCCAGAACTTCCCTAGTGGGCCAAAACTTCCTAAAAAATAAATGTGATGGGTCAGACAAGCCTGGTGTGCAAGTTCCTTTCTGGTTCAACAATCAGCCTCTGTCCATGACTTCCCAAAGCCAGGAGCAGCTGTCCCAAATCCCTGGAGCACCACAATCATCAGAATTTATTTACTTTTATTTTGTTTTTAACTTCACAACCTCTTACTTGTTATTTGGGGGTTTTGTTTTGTGCTGTGGTTTGGTCAAACTCCTGCAAAGTCTCCTGGCTTTTCTCCTTCCTTTTCCCCTTCTCCCTGCTGGATTTTCCAGTGGTTCTGTGCTGTCCTCCCTCCATCCAGCAGTGACAGGCAGGCACGAGGCCAAGCCAGGCTTCAATCTGCTCTCTCCAGTGCCATTCAGGAAAACATTTCCCAGTGGGATCACGGGTTTAGCCACAAATCCGGGAATTAACAGTGGGAAGAGAGGCTCAAACAAGG